ACGTCTTCGATGATCAAGCGTAATTTGGTTTGGGCAATCCTCTTGTCCATCCGATCCTCATCTCGAGGCTTTTCCTTTGAGCTGCCGCTCATCGTTTGTCATTAGAGATCAAGGCGTAATACAAACACTTGCGCACCTTGCACGGCCCTCGACGACTCGAAGACGGATGAAGAGCGGCAAGGTGGAGATCGCATCGCTGCGACGCTCCATTCGCTCGATTCGCCCTTTTTGACCGACTCGCGGCGGCATGCGTGTGTGTGTCCCTCGATCCACGCGTTTGCATGCAGCAGCTTTCATAGCAGCAGGACTCATGTTCGTCAAATGACAGTCACCATCATGAATCCATCCGGGTGCGGGCATAGCGAAGATGCATTAATGCCCTTACGAGAGCTGGCTGAAATGAAGCCGCGTGCCTGACTGCTGGGAGCTGATCGGAGCCCTCAGCCTGAGCAGAATCACCTCAGCCTGCAGACCTGAGATTGACGTCCTTGTGAAGCATCGCAATGAACTTGCAACGAACGACTCGCCATCGAACACAAGTTGAGCAGAACGGGCAAAGCGGATATTATTACACATCTCGAAGACGCTGCAGCTTGCATCAGAGGAGCTGGTGCTTGACGAAGCCCAGGGCGAGATTGGAATCAAGCTAGTCGCGAGCCGGGAGTGATCAGGATGAATGCCGGAAAGCAGAGCCAATGAGAGTGAAGCGCATGGGCATGAGCGATGGGGTGGGGTATTCGGAGCTCTTCACCAAGGAACAAACAGATGGGATCGCTCTTGCGCCTACCTTGGACAACGTTCCCGCTCGATTGCAGAGAGACAGAGAGAGGGGGAAGCGCGCCCTAGTGCTCTTGGTGACCGCAACGAGTGCAGACCTTCTTGCGGTCGATGCAAAGTGCAATGAGACCGCAGGGGCAGCAAAGGATCGCGATGATGATTCCCACCACTCCATACTTTGTGTCCATCGTGTGGTTTCCGCGCGCGCATTGGGCTGTGCACGAGCGCGAGCGCAATCGCGGTGAGCGCACAAAGTCAGCTCTCTCATCTCCGTGTTGCGCAAAGCGATGAATGAAGGGCAAAGCGACTCACCCATCACTGAGAATAGCGAGGTCGGACAAGCAGCGAGGCAGAATGGGTAAAGGTGGGATGTATGCGTCAGCTGCGATGCTCGTCTGTGCGCTACATGTGGGCACCACTGCGGCGGCGGCACCCCTTTCCATCTGGGCCTCCAAGAGGCGCTACACTATCTGGTGGGGATGGACAACCGTCCCGCTTCGCAGTCTCTCCCTCGTAGAGCAATGGGCGTACACAGCACCCACACTAGACTCACTGTTCTGTTGGTAAGCGACGCCTTCATCGATGCCATAGTGTTGCTGCTGCTGCTGCTGCTGCTGAGGAGCAAAGCCCTGCTGCTGCGGGTAACCCTGTGGCGGTGCGGCGGCATCGGCAGGATTATGAGCATGCTGAAAGTTACCGGGCGTGTAACCTGCAGTTGTGCCCAGCGAGCCAATGTTACTAACACCTTGTCCGCTGTAGTGTCCTGCTCCGTGAGAGTGAGAGGCGTTGTGCTGGTGAGTTGCGTTGTGCTCACGAGGAACGGCAGGGGCAGCGCCGTATTGAGGAGCAGCATTGG